TGCTGCAAAGATGCCCAAAGGCCTACCAAGAAACTATGAACGCAGCTACACTTCTTCTAACCTCAATCTGGTCCACCTGCACAGCATCTTCTTTCTACTTAAGGTAGCAAGCCTACAAAGAAAATCAGTATGCAGCAGAATGAGTCTCTCCGTGCTTCTCACTGATGCAGGGGAATGGGGACACAGTCCCGAGCCAGCCATGTCATTTACTGAAGAGGAAAAAAGAAACCGCAGAGAGCTTGCCAGCATGTCTCTCTCTCTCTCTAACATCCCAGTTCCTAAATTCTGTGAAACTATAATCTGTTAGTCTCAGGTGAGCCCCCTCTTATATCTGCCTAGAATCCCCTCTCAACAGCAGACAGGACAGTTTTTGCATTGGTTTGGAGTATCCCTGAGGTTCCAAAGTGAAGGAGGACGTTGCACCAGTGCAGCCCTTCTTTCTTGGAAGCGGTGGATGGCACAGCCTTTTGGCCCAGTATTCCCCCCGAGGTCTGTCTGCCCTCATTTCCCACCAGCGTTTCAGCAAATAGAAAGTGAGACAAAAAGCACATGATGAGGCAGAATGTCCCACCGAGCTCTTTCCTCCTGTGGCTTCCACCCAAAAGGAGAGGTCACGGCAGAACACATACTAGCACTCCGTCACTGGTGACACCCCTTCTCCTGCTCCTTCCCTCTCCACCTGCAAGACCCTGCAGCCCTTCACCCCACAGCGCATACAGAGGAGGCAGCCCCTTGTCTCCTGCTCGCTTGCTGCCCCAGCCCTACCAGCTGGCCAGGCTTCCAGCTCATCGGGCGCTTCCACTCCCACGCTAGCCTCAAAGCGGCACCATCCCACCTCGCGCTCTCCCACTCGGCTACAGAGGAATAACCTGCCCAACCTCTCCTTGCTCGTTCCTTCTGTAAGAGATGGGTTTAACTGATGAGCTCAGAGACCATTCCGACTCAAAAATGAAACCAGGGAATGGAGAGCAGCACAAGTGTTCCCAGAAGGATTTGTAGATGACTTGTGTCCAAGTACCCTAAACACCCAGGGGACAGCAGCTCTGCAATGTTCTGCAAGATTGTGTACTGGTTTCGTAAGAATGGTTTATTGGAGTCAGGGTCAAATTCTTCTGTGAGATCAATGCTTCTGACTGGAAATCCTGACATTCAAAACTCAAAATACAGCCAAAGACAGAGTGACAGACTACAAGGGCACGTTGCCTAAGCAGGGCATGGAGAGGTGACAGCGTCCGACTGTTACGCAGGCGTGGGGCAGGAACGCATACCTTTCTTGCGACACACTTTGCATCTGGCATTCTCTGCCGACATATCCCACTTGATACAGGCATCCAGCATCCCGAGCAGCACGTGCATACGGGAGAAGGTCTGGGCCTCACGGATTGCTGTCTTCCACTTCTCCATGGCTGAAGCAACCTGCAGACAGACCTAACAACTTACAACGAAGCACACAGACACAGCTCGCTACAGTCTGAAGATGTTTTAACACCCTTTAGCTGGGGCCCTTAACCAAAGCTCAGCTCTGGATTTCTTTCCTTCCATATAGCCTCAGCAGTCCTATTTGTGGTTTATCCATAGCCAGCCTCACTGCATCAGACTTTGTTTGTAACAGTAGAGCCCTTTTGCATTTCACAGCCAGGCTGAAACAACCTATGTGAACTCCACTAAATTCTTGCTCTGAAAGTCTAACCCAAATAATCATCAGGCTAAGCAAATAAAAGGCAGAGGTCTAGGACTGTAAAATGCGGGACGAGAGTCAGGAGAGAGCTGGCAGCACCGTGGCGGATGGGAGCAGCCCGTGCCGCCCTCCTGCGGGTCCAGGCCATCGGCGGGACACCCACTCTTGCTGTCCTGGCCCCCCACGCTGCCCGGCTGGCAAAGGAGACCCTGACACCAGCCACCACTGACAGGCAAGGCATTTGGAGCCCCACAGAAGAAACCAGCTGCCCTCCCGAGACGAGACCACCTCAGCACATGTGAAATCCCAGAGTTCGCTGCAAGTGAGGATGAAAGCATCATCCCCGAGATCTGCACCGCGGCCACTGCCGGCGCCTGCACACAGCGAGCCACACGTGAGATCTCCAGCTCAGCTCTGGGGGCTTAGAAACAGCGTTGTGGTAAATCGGAACTGCACCAGTAGAGTGATCCAGAGCCACCGCATGCTCGGCTCCAGGGTTAATCCTTTGCTTTGCAACAATGAGGTGATGGCCTAGACATGACAGGGACATAATAGGACTCAAGTTAATGATCTTCTACCCCAGGAGAATGAAAAAACAAACAGTGAAGTGTCAGATGGGAAAACCTGAACTCTGCAGCTGACAGCAATTTGGGAGCCAAACAAAACCCAGGATTTCTGCAGAGTTGCACATTCTCCTCCCACCGAATTTGAGGAAGCACAGCATGTATTAGATGCTTGGAAAAACACACAAACTGTTCTAAAATGCCAACATCCTTGCTGCCATTGCTAGTGTGGAACCTGGAGCCCAAGACCTGCGAGACCAACGGAAACCTGCGCAGCCTGCTGTGGCAGATTGCACTGCGCTGTGCTATTTCTTTGCAGAACATTGTTGAGGTGCTTCACATACTGTGTAATTGATTTTCCAAGTAACTGTTCCATGGGTTTTGCTGTTAACACACTGGGTAACTGCTGGGCCAAGATAAATCTGCAAAAGCTGTTGGCAAGTTTTGCTTAGATTTTTCTCCCCAAGCCTGTGGAATTTAACAGATTTTTAGCCCTGCTTCCCAAGCATCATGAGACTGTGGCATTTTAGCAGTAGCGTTATCAAGGGAGTTCAGACTGCCAACTAGGCAAAACAGGAGACTGCAAGAAGTTACTTAAATACCCTCCTGGCTGGACAGGATCAATCTAGCAGGCAAAACAAAAACACCCCAGAAAAATACTGCCGGAGAAGACCTCGGTCCCGTTTCAACATCACAGCGACAGCAAATGCCTGCTTTCGGGAAGGCGGACAAGCCTCCAGCAGGAAGGCTCTCCGCTGGCATCCCAAGATGACAGAAAACCCTCCCAACAGCTGAAATGGCAACTGCTCTTCCAGGTAACGTCTGCAGGTGAAGGCTGAACCCCCCGACTTCTCCTTTGCACACAGCGCTGCCAGCAAGCGGCAGGGTGGGTAACCTGCCCTTGCCCCTCACTATGCTCAGGCAGTTGTGCTGCCGTGTCACGCTGCAAAGAGGTCACATATTCCCTGTGCTGTTTCGGGACAGGCCAGAGCGCTACTGCCACTGGAGATGGGAACATTTGCCTAAACAGAGGCACAAAACTGATTTTCAGAAACGGCCATAAGCCAGGCCTACGCTGCAGGCTCTCGCCACTCAGCAGCGTGATCTCTAGCTGGGCAGCTGAGCCAGCAGCAACCCTTGGTACAGACAATTGTGTCAGCAAACGGGTGCTTATTAAGCCATAACTTGTTTCTCACAGAAAAAATGAGACATAACCATACCGCAGGACTGTAATTTCGCCTGTATAGTCAGCAAGTACATTCAGTGTGTTTTTCCAGTACAGCTATGCTGTATTTTACCTGCTATGTACTCTCCGTGCAGTTGTGGCTCTGAAAGGCTTCGTAATTCTTGGCCTATACAGGACATTTGTCTTCAAGAGCCTAACGGGCTTTTTTAATCAGATAACTATATCTAAAATCTGGGCTGCTCTTTCAAGGTCATCTAAAGAGGTTTTCTGCTTTGACAAAAAGCAAGCTCATTCCAGATAAACTGAGGCAAAAAACCCCAAACAAACAAACCAACCCCAAGCAAAACCCCAAACAAACCACCAAACAAACCCAAACCCCCAACAAAAAAAGCTGAACATTGCTTATACCACCACAGATGTCTAGAAAACTCTGAGCCAGATAAAGAAGGCACTGCACAAAGAAATGCTCCAGAGCCATCAGCCCAACACAAGAGCCAGTGCTCCGGAGGGAGACCTGCACGACCACGCTCTCAGACTGGCGATGCTGAAATCTGTGTCCGTACACCTACAAGGCCGAGCTGTACGGCTAAGTACGCGGTCACATTAGACAAAACTGGGTAAGAACAGAAAAAAATTCCAAGTAACTTCTGATTACCAGTCCAGCAACATTCAGCAACCCTACTGTTCCAGCTGGTTTACGGAGCAGAAAGCACAGATCAGGATGGTTCGGCCGCACAGAGCGCTGTGTCTAAGCTGGCTGCTGTAGCTGAAAGTCCTGCGATTGCCAGAACGAAGCACGGTACAGAGCCTGGCCTTGCTGTGACGAACAACGCTCCGTAACCGCGTCGGTAAGAGAGCAACGCTCTGAAGTAGCATGGAGAAACCAGCCAAACATTCACGATCAAACTGACTCATTTGCAGGCAGACAAAAGGTTGGGTTTTAAAGCTGATGTAGCTTTAGCAATAGTAGAGAAGTGACCAAGGTTCAAATACAGGGCTCACGCTGCTGAATTACTACCCATTCAGATACTGCAGGAAATCTGACATTACTCTTAGAGCATGCCCCACAGGTATGACCGTTATCGTTATGGCTCTAAGGCCCATGAGTGCAAGGCATGATACGGTGTTGCTGTAGATACAGGCAACGTGATGGTCCAGCCACTTTTTGCCCCAGACATAACTGATTATTACAGCTCTGTATTCTGCTGGTAGCTTTCAGGATAAGGTAGCCTTCTGCTCCCTTTGCACTGGAGACTGGGAGATTCAAAGCCAGCAAAGGTTAAACACTTCAGGACAACTGAGGAATGCAAAAATTTCTAGTGCCTATCCAAGTATCCTGCTAACCCGGCACTACCACAGCATGGCAGACTGGATGTTGAAACAAGGGTTCAGACAACACTGACAGGAGCTTTACACAAAAAGAAAAAATAAAACCCCCTACATAGTCAAGCATCTAGTACTTTTTTACATTGGGAATTTCAAATGCTTCTGTTGATCCAATTCTGATGTTGCTACTTCTGCTGCTGTCGGTGATCAATCAGGGCAGAGCACTTTGAAGGGAGCAGTGGGGAAAGTCTTGTCATGGGCTACTGATGTCCCGTTCCACACAGTGCACAGAAACGACCCCTGAGCACGAGCATCCCTCCTAAGACAAAACACTGGTACAGCTCAACTGCCTATGGGACTCCTCCAAATCCTCCACAGCTCTTCTCCATCCCTTCTGAGCTTTGATTTGGAAGGCTCTGTATTTACCCTCACAACAGCACTTTTCTACCGCAGGCACATCTGGCTTGTTTGCCCAGATGTCCAGCCAAGCTGTGTGCAGCCCACAGTTTGGCATCTTCTGTGGGTGTCTCCATGCATATGACGATATTTACCTGGACCCAGCTCCCTTGCAGTAACCAAAACCTCACCATGTCTCTCCTCCCCTTTACAGATCGAAGGCATTAAGTCACCATCAGCCCTCTCTGATGGATACAACTCCTGTTAAGTACTCTAAAAATGCTCCCTAACATGCTTTTATTAAAGTACCCAACTTGTGTGAGCAACTAAGTGAAGGAAGTCCAAATACTTGGCTCGACCCTTTTCTTGTTCATAGAAAGATAATTAACTGTGATTCCACAGAATGATTTTCATTTTGCCAATACCTTTACTCTTCAAAATAACCAGGGAACACCTGTCCCCATAAGTGACAAACCCACTGCACTCTGAACTTGGAATGGGGAGAAGCTGCTCGGGATTCAGCACCCGATGAAATATACTGTCCCTGCTCGAAGAGTTATATTACAAGACTGAAACAGAGCCCTGTATTGAACAATACCTTCGCTTCTTCTGCCATCTTCTTGTCTTCATCTATCTCCTCAGCCTTGGCAACGTAATCTTCTCCTTGATGTTTCCTTCTCTTCTGCTTGGGGGCCATGAAACCTTGCAGAAACTTCTTAACGACACCAGCCTGGAGTGCAATCACACACTCTCCAAAATCCTTCAAGCTCTCTAGTGAGCACACCTGTTAGGAAAAGCACACGACCAGAGAACAGCTGGACGTTACTCTCTGTGCTGTTTTAGACTGGTCTGTCCTGCAAATGGATACATGTAATACCGAATGCAGTGTTGTTATCTAGCATACGAGGTTATGGAATCAGCATTTTGCTGCTGCTTCTGCTGGAGTTCTTACACAACTGATCAGTATGCATAGCACTGTTAGGAAAAAAGCATCATGCCTTGGGAAAACAAAAAACCATGATGATCAAGCATTAGGCCATTCTTCCACTCCTTTAGTGACTTTGCTTTTCCCCTCCTCTTAACGTTTACAGTCTCAGCCACATGTGGAAGTCTCTGCAGTGACTCAGGACACAGCTTACACAGAGCTTTACCCATTCCAAGCCAGGTAACGCTGTCCTTTGGTGGGAGGAGCACCCACGAGTCACAGGAGTGCGTGCTCTACCCACACCAGACAGATTTACCCCTCCTAAACACCACTACTGCTCAGGTGAGTTAGGCTGAACTAGCCAGAGCACTAAAATTCACACTTTAGTTGACTGCACAGAAGCTTCCTTGAGCTGACATACCCATAAACCCACCCTTCAGGTCTTGGACCTGCAACACCGTCATTACAGCCTGAAGTGGTCTGGACTTCTGAAAAAAAACCTCCAAAATGGAAAACTGCTGTCTCAGCAAGACATGCTGGCTTTGACACAGCAGCTAAAAATCAGCTACAAAGAGTTCTGCTAACGCTCCACAAAGAAGCCTGCCAGCAGATGAAGGAAACACGACAATTTAACAGCTGTGCAGGACACCTAGCTCCAACATCATGACCCACCTACACCAAAAGGGCCTCAAGCCAGCAGCTGTGTAACCTCGAAAAAAGAGCTGAGAAATAGAGGACACATGAGAAAACTGACTTTCCTGATCCTCTTTGTCTGAGGAGAACAAAAGACTCAAGACCTTCCACAGAAAGCATCAGCTCGCGCTTGTCTTGCTCAGTACTACTTTGCCTGTTCACTCACTCTTGCTTCATACTCTGGTGTCACATCAACATATCCCAGGCCTCCTTTCTGCAGCCGAGTTGCAACCTCAATTAGATCACTCCGGAGGTGGTTCAGCAGTTCCTGGTTGCCATCACAGGATTTGAGGCCCAAGTTCTGTTTCCGAGCCAAATGGATAGAATGTGTGATGTCCTGATACCTGGAAAATCAAAACCAACCTTTGAATACATGCAGACCGCTGCCCCGTGAGCTGTGCGGGCGCTGGGGCAACAACGGAATCCACCATGATCCACGCGCTCCACCAGCGCAGAACGTTCTTTGAAAGACGCATGAAAGCACGTGGCTGTCCTGGCTCCGCGAGTGGAACAGCACTGCCTTTCTTCCCCGTTGCAAGAAGCAATTTAAAGACGGACAGAACCTCTTCACAGTTTAGAGCATTACTTATCAAAAACCTGCAGTTACTGCTCAAGAAAAACAGCAGCTCCTCATCCTCAGTATCCTCCCCTCTTCAGCACAGGCAAGATCACAGCCAAGCGCAAAATGCTGCCCCGGGAATGGCAAGGCTTGCTGTGACGAGGATACGCTTTGGCTCCGAGAAGGCGCGTGGTGGTGGTGGGGAAACGCAGGCAGGCTCACCTCTTCTCCAGACGCTCCTTTAGCTGGCTCTCTCTTGCTCCCTGTGGGTGCAGGCAATCCAGCAGCTCATCCAGATCCTTCTGGCTGTCACAGAGAAACCTGAAAGATATAACACCCAACATCAGCTAACGTACCTCTGTGGCAAGAGAGTTCCTTCTGCTAAATAGTTCACAAGTAGCAGTAGGCAGGGACGACAGGTAACCTACATCCCAACCCCACGGAGCAAGGTGAAACACTTCCAGTAACGCTGGGGTAAGCGTTCTGTGACTGGCCTTAATTCAAGGTGCCCAAACATAGCCACTTCCAGTGTAAGAAAAACAAAAAAGCAGAACTGATTTACAGATTTTCCCCCATTAAGTTTATGAAAACTTTGGCATCTGAATTTAGTCATCTACCCCAGGGATCAGATTCACTGAATTGCAGTCAGTTTAAGTAATATGAATGTCATTTTAGAAAAGATTAACATGCTATGCACCGCATAGCACGGCAGTTTAATCATTCTTTCTGCAGACCCTGTGACTTCTCTCATTAACCCAAGAACTCCCTCGCAAAGGGGATGGCCTAGTTTATGCCACGCTTACTGATGATGTAGATTGGTGCCTGTGAAGGCTGCATCCTCTGCAAGAGCAGAAGGCCTCCTCTCTAAGCAGCTCACCTTCACCTGAAAGCTCAGACGCAGTATGTGAAAACCACATTCGTTAGCTTTAGACCCTTCTGCTCAGGAAGTCCTTCAGGACAGCAACGCTACGGGCAGCCAGCTGAGTCTAAAAGGGGAAGACTTTTGCAGAGTTCTCTACACAAGGCATTCTCTCTGCACTTCCAGAGTACAATCAAGTTTTGATGCTGGGTTGTAGATCTAAACTAGCTTTAAGGCAGCCTGAAATTCTGCTCTTAGCCTCTTTTTTTCCCCAACTCTATTCTAGGATGCCATGGAGCCTCTTCACCTGATGAGGGCAGGGATTCAGTCTGAGCTTCAGAGCTCATTTACAGAAAGTAAGACTAATCACTATCTTCTAGAAGAGGATTGCTCCTTAGAAGAGGGAAGTGAGGGACTAGCAAAATCAACCTTATATGGAAACAACTGCAAAGGACCACTGTGTGACCCTTACCAGCCACAGAGAAGACTCCAGATCTAATTTCTCTTCTTGGGCACAAGCTCAGATGACCCAAGCAACCACTAGAGAAAGATGCTGTGCTGGCTCCTCTTGGAGTAACAGCATCTGCAATGCTTATCTTTCTGGCAGAAATATTTACTAAACATCATATCTGAAAAGAAAACATTTCAGAGTTCTAGTATGCTCATATTAGGGGAATGGCCTCACAATTTGCACTGAGTTAGTAAATTAATTATGCCAATAAAACATAGGATTGATTGTTTAAAAATTGAAGAACAGTTTCTTCCCAGTCACCTGCTTCGGTACACTCCAGCCCTGTGGAGCACCCTCACCTTGCACACTGACATCAAACCCTTTGGCCACCACTACCCTCTGCACACCCTCCCTGCGAGAAACAGGACAGGGCAGCTCCACATCTCCTTCACCCGCTAGAGCCCAGCACAGGCGCTTCCAAAGCGGTAGCGTTTCAGGGCTGCTGGTGGGATCCAGCAGGCACTCACACAGACCTGTAACAGTACAACTTGTGTCTTTCTTACAGATACCACTTATGGTGACTCATTAGCATTCCTACATTCACTGGAAGGTCTACAGACAGACCGCTGCAAGGACTAGCGTTTTGAAGCCTACAGGACTTCTGCTAAACAAAGAGAAATTTGTCTAGAACATTTGGTATCAAATTGCTTCCCAGTCCTTGGGGCAAATCTTGGGATTGGTCCCAAGCCATATTTCAGTATGAAGCGTCTGTCACAATACGGGAACGGCATAAACCAAGCTTCAAAACGGTTGCCCTGCCGATACCCAGCAGAGGACTGTTTCTCCGGCACGCTGAGAAGGTTGCCTAGGTCATGATGACACAACATCAGTCACTGCTGGAGATACACCATGGGATCCAGCTGGAAAAATATCTGAGAAGACCATGCTTGAGCTTTCTCAGCTTTCCCCATGGCAGCAAATCTAAGGGGGCAGTTCCCTGCACGGCTCTGTCCTACTGTTAAAAGGGCACTGGAAACAGCACATGGCGCTTGCATTCTCCAGCGTCATGTGGTTTGGGGAAAGACAACACAGGCTGATGGCCAGCGTGAGAAAGCAGGTTATCATCCTTTTAAGAAAGCTAGGGTTAAGCCC